TCGACATGCCTCACTGCTTTTTGGATATAATCGTTGACAGGGTTTCCGCTGTGAATCATCAGGCCATCGACGAATTTCATCGACTTTGCTCTCTGTCCTCGCAGTTTGCCGGAAACGATCACCTCGCAACCAACTGCCTGTGACTCCATAATGAAGCGTAGAACTCCGTAACAAGCGCTAAAATGAAAAATTAAGGTTCATACATTATATTTTAATATGCGCCTAATTTCTGCAATATCAGATATCACGCGATCTATCAATGGTCCACTTTTCTTGCTTTTTATTATAGTTGGTCATGAAACGATTGTTCTATGGCACCTGAGCATCAGTAGTACTCGATGTTTCTCGTCATTCTCCTGCGCTAATTTATTCTCTTGATCCCATAAAGAGAAAATGAACAAACCATAAATGGACATGCTACTGCAATACCATGCGACATATACAGGTAATGTGAGAAAACTATACAGATCCTGAGGACCAATAATCAAATATAAAAATCACTAACAGAAAAAGACTTACCGTCTAACGGCTAATCCTCCGATTAGCTTGTATCGCAGGGATTCACACTGTGCTACGGCGCACAAACCACGAGTTGTGAGTTTCTCAGCATAAAGCTGTAAAATAAAAACATTAAATTTATGACAGAAAATTAATTAATAAACGGTAATGCGAGTATCTAAACACGGGAGAAAGACGGAAGGTGAATAAGCAAATGCAAGATTTGAATGTTATTGATTGTTTTAATACTTGCAATGAGCTGCTTGCACTAGCGGAACGTTTCTGATTAGCAATGTCCATCGCGGAAGAAACTCTTTTTCTTCGAAAACAGATATGTATTTTACCTTGTTTAGTCATGTTGACTGCTAGCTATTTCACAAAGGCCTGAAGTACTTCAGTTAGTAAGGAAACCTCGCGAGTTCAAATGAGAAACCTCTGCTTAATCAGTTGGTAATAACAAGTATAACCACCTTTTCCGAATCTCTACGTCTACTGCGGACACCAGTGCTTGGAAGAGAATACAGTCATACCTTATAAGGTCCTGACATTTGACCCTCATTGCGAATTGAAGCCAGTGCTGTTGTATGTAGTTCAGCCGTCATAATCGAGCTGTCACCAGAAAAACGGTTTCCATGGCGCAATACAAAGTTCACTTAAGGGAGGTAAGGTACAGACAGACGTTCGTGGAAAAAAGATACCCTTTCTTTAGCCAAAAGCAATATAGGGACCCTAACGGTTTTTTCATTAAATTCCAAGTGGATACTGAGGTTATTAGCAATGATGGAACCGAGATATTTAAACTGTCAAACTCCCCACTCTAACTGCAGATCTGTAATGTCAAACAGACTGCTCACATCTTTAGAACCCTGGACGTTAAAAACTTCGAAGATGTGCTAGATATGAAAGCCGTCAGATGACAAAACCTGCTTCCCGCACTACCCACCCAGACAATATCATCTGCGCATTGTAGATCAGCAAGATACTTCTTAGCACATGCTGAGCCATGGCAACTTTCCAGGATACTTCAGGTAACCAGAAGAAAAAGAACGAAATTTCAATGTAGTTATTAACTCAACCCTAACCAAAGATTAAATTTACCCAACAGTACGTTGTTCATGTGACATAAGTTTAGTACATCAAATACTGAGGATGTTTACAGGACGTGCTCCCAGTCATCGTGTTGCAAAAAATGTCGATTTATCAATTTAAAGCAAAATATTGTTACAAATGAATAAACATTCAAATATCATAAGAGTGCTGTTTCAATTCAGTGTTTCACAGTGCATGGCTATCGATCTTTAATGCCTTGGTTTCGCTAACATTACAGTCACAATAGTGGTCTTCATCAACCAAATTCAGACCAGTATAATTCACCAGAGTACATAGAGAAAGATCCGCTATGATATCAAGCATCAGGGAAATCCGTGGGTGGCGAACAGCAGAACAGGACATCAAGAGATTAAGACATAAGACAAGCCAGGAACAACTTTTAAACCTCACATGCTGCGACAGGTAAAGAGATAGAACGCCTGCTTCGTATCTCAAGATCTTAAGTCCAAATCTCAACCGGATACGTTCTATCTCGGATCTTTCAGCCATTCAGAGCGTACTGCTTGAAAAACAACCAAGGGACAATACGCCGCAGTGACTACCTAATTTTTATCCATCTTATTCCGTTTCATGGATGTAGTATTTTATGCTCGTTCTGTTTGTTATTTGTAAGATTTAGCATGTGATTCTGAAATGTGTTATATTCGCATCATGAGCTAGCTTATCGGTGATAATTCTGATACCGCAATATTTTGCATTTATTTTTTTATACATATACTTGTATCGGCCTTGCTTCTGCTCTTGTTCCGTTGAACGCTTCGTTTTTCTTTGATGTATTGCCAACATTTCTATATGATTGTGAGACCTGAGAAGCAACCAAAAAGATGAAAAACTGTTGATAGTGCAACGGGACAATAGCAGCAGAATGTGGACAAAAGGATGCTAGAAATTTCCATAAGGATCAAGATTCAGAAGTAAGAAATAAAAGGACTTAAGGAGATGCAGGACGCAATATCAGTCTCATAAGAAAAAAACCGACAATGGGCAGGTCAAATCGCTCGACTGACAGATGACAGGAATTCAGCGCTGACCGATTGGCACCCAAAGGAAACTAAGAATTTTTGTGGCGAAAAATGGCATGAGACAAACGATCAAGGGAATCGAGAGTAGACAACAGCGATTTCCGTTAATTACAAAGAAAGATCAACCAACTAATGTTGACCCGTATCGTTTCCTTTCCCTTAAGCACGTGATATCGAGATATCATGTAAGTTGTTATAACTAGCTTATTCTCAATACTAAACAAGATTGAAAGCAACCTTTATTATATACCATTATATATGGCATTATATATTATACGATATACATTTAAAGAAATGATATCGATAGGGAATTGTATCGGTTATGTTACTGCTTTTATCCTACTTTTGCTTTCCTATACATTCAATAAATGATACCGACAAGTAATAATTCTGCTACTGTCATAAAACGAGCTTTATCTGATAATGACTATGATAATTCTACTACGGCGCTATTGAACATTTATTCTTGTACACCAGGATACGAAGCTTTTATTCCTGTTGGACTTCCAATTTATACTTAAATTTAAGTATGTAATATTGATAGGTGACATAACTATACATCTAGACTGTCATAACTGCACCTTTTTCATTATCACTTACTGAGCTATCTTACTGTGATACGATGCAGTTATATGTTTATTTAAATTCTGTCATTTTCAGTACTCTACATTATTTTGTCTTTTGTTTAAAAACGGTTTCCGTCTAAAGAGTAAAACTCCAAACTAACAGCAGATACTGCCTTCCGGACTATGGCATCCCAGCAGATGACCGAGATCAGTGCCGCATTATGGACTAAACGAAAAATGGTAACAAAAAATGGCGTCATCATTGAAGTGTAAGCTAGATTCTAGTGACTACAAACTTTCCTCTGCTTTTCTCTAGAGACCAGATGCACAGACTTCATCCACTCTGATTTGTGATGCGTTAAAAGAGGCAAAACTTATGGTACGTCTCTGCAGTGTTTGTCAGAAGTGCAAAAAACTAGCACAGAAACACTTACACGCGGGTGGGGTGGGGGTAGATCAACCTTAGATGGAACAGCAACTCCTATGAAGAAGTTCCGCATTTCGGCCACTTCGCTGCCTCCCTATGCTCATGCTTGACTTGAATTAGATATACTAATTGAAATATCATAGCAAATTTTCTGCTGAACGTGATTATCAGTTCAAGTTTTACGCAATGCTT